GTAGCTCCACATCTTCGGCTGCGCGCTGCATGGCAGCTTCTAGACGCAATGCGCTATGCGGGTAAAAGACAATGCTAACATTTGAAGCCAATGTGGTTGGATTGATATCGGCCGTGATTGTGGGCGTTTGCTGCTGGGTAATTAAAAGGGATAAAACAGTTACATACATATGTTATTCTTTGAAGTAGAATCAATACGAACGGGGTTAGATAACATACTAGAAAATCTTCATATAAACGTAGCGAGTAAATGCCACCGAAACGAAATCCTGAGGGACGCGTATGACTCCACACCCAATTGCATGTGGCAGTTTTGTTAGCGGCTAGCCGATGTGCGTAGTCCAACTCGATGCCATCGTAATATGTTGGTTTGATGCGTTGTGCCAGTTTGTGTAGTTCGTGAATACTGCCGGGATTCTTTCTGTACGTAGTACCGGGGTATAGTTGAAAGCATGCTGGAAACTGCTGTGTACATTTCTGTGGGCACCAATCGCACGTCATGAATTAAGTGGTAAATCGGTTCAGGAAATATACGTTTAATATCGCTTTTTATTTGCAAAAAATATTGTAGATCAATAAAAAATATAATGGCGAGGCCTTTTAGCGGTTTCGCCGTATTTTGGCGGCTTTCTAAAAAGAATACACAAAATTGGAAAAATAATTTCAAAAATTGTGATTATTTTGTTTTTGAATAACGACAATATGTTTTGAAAACGTCAATGTGAAGTGTTGGAAAATTTTTAACAGTATGGTGAATTAAACTCGCATAGTTATTTCAAAGCACATGACGTTCAGTAATTATTGTTACCAAGATACCGGTGGGCCCATAGGTCGAGGGGAACTTAAAGCCCACCCCACTTAGCCTTACTGAGGTGCGCGCAGCGGCTATATCTATAGGCGATTCGAGTTGAAGTGGGGCCACTTATTCCAATTAAGGCGGCTCTTTGTACCCTTTCTAGCAGCTTGACAATGAAGGCCTTGCCCAGTGCGTTCCACCAGACGAGTAGCCCATATAATAAGATTGGCTTATTATAGTTTCATAAAGCCAAAGAACTACTTTCGTCGAAATACCCCAGCGCTTAACAATGGCCCCTCTACAACAAGAAATTAAAGGCCTGCAGTACTTCTAAGAAAGCTTACTGTCAAGGTTCAAACCATGGTACTTCACCCTGCCAGAGAGAATTAAAAGGAAGACGGAAAGTCGGTATCAATCGATCAAGCTCTTCGGCGTCTTCAAAAGAAACGAGGAGAGATTTATCGGTCTGAAGTCTCTGAGTGATACATTAGAGTCTTTACTCGCCTTAGGAATGAACACAATTCCGACCACCCTCCAATACTCCGAAACATGACGCCTAGGTACGCAGCTCGCAAAGACAGGAATCAACCGGTGCCGTGATACCGGGCCCGTGGTCTTAAGGGGCTTGAAAGTGCTAATGGTTCAAAGAAGGTAAACCTCCATAAAAATTTCCGGGGCTATTAGAGAAAACTTTTCTTGATGTTTATGGGAAACTGGGCTCGAACCTAGGACTTGCGGAATGGTAGTGCGTACTTCTAACCACTAGAAGACCGCGACGCCTTTACTATCCCATTGGGTATATTAAATACCTGCTAGAAGGATGCATTTAGTACCATAGTTTGCCAGGGAAGCTGAGAAAAAAAGGAGACTCAGGTTTGGCTTGAGCAGAACACATCCTAATCTATTCAATTTAACACCGTTATGTTTAAGAACCTGCAGACATTGTGCGCCATTCTACAGCCTTAGATTTGGGTGAGCGAAATCCCAAGCACGCTTTGAAAATTGGTGTTAACCTTNATTCACATCGAAGCTTACGGGGATGACGGTCATCAGGAAAACCACTTAGGAAGGTACCTAAATAAGATTGATGGCTTGTGCATTTTGTCTTAACCTTCGAATGCTTACATGCGCAAAGCTAAGTCTTTCCGTAAAATATCCAGTTGCGAAGCTGAAGGTAAATCGAGCGCTGAAAGTTTTCGGACAGCTCAGCTACGTAAGAGCTCAGGCAGATGATATTCTCGCTATACATACATGGCTTTAGTCAGACCAATCGTCACGTACTCTGCTATGGTATGGTGGCACTGGTCAAAACCACGGTTTCTATGTTAAACAGGCGACGAATTAGTGTGTGCATAGGCATTACGGGTGCCATGAGTATAACTGAGCACCATTGGATTTAACGATCTAAAAGGAGGCAATGAAGACGATGTGCCGATTGTATTTTTTTGGATTGTGGCAGGATGACCGGAGTTCCGGGCAGCGAAAGTTGTTCGGAAGATTATCACCGTATTATCCTTTGTTTTTGACACCTATATCGCCAACGCAACGGTCTTTCAATCAAAAATCTTTGCAATACTGAAGGTAACAGGCTGGATAAGTGGCGAAAGGTGGCGCGGACATAATATCAGGGTCTGCAGTAACAGCCAAGCTGCTCTAAAGGCTTTGGAAATCGCTCAAATATCTCAAAAAAAGTCGTGCAATTTAATTTCAGGTTGAACTCTGTTCGAAGGTGGAATGAGCTGGAAATTGTGTGCATTTAGGGACACTACGGTGTTCAAGACAACAAACTGGCTGATGAATTGGCGTCCTATTGCACCGGACGGCTAATGTACGGCTAAGCATATCGGGTAATAAAGCTCATGCGAGCCCTGGGTGTAGTATTGACACCAGCAAAACAACCAAGTGTTTCTTGAAAAGGCCACAAAGAAGGAGTGGTATACTAGCTCTGACTGGACAGATTACAGGATACAATGCATAGAGACGTCATACATTTGTCCACTCTAGGTACCATCGCTTTGTACATCTTGTTTGGAAGATGCGGGTAGTAGACAATATTTTCTTTGCCGCTGTCCGACCTTCGCCAGACTTAGATGGTACATTTGGCGATAGCTGGTTTTGAGAATGGAAGGGCAACATTATCTTTCCCTCGAAAAGCTTCTACGTATCATAGAGGGGTCCGGTAAATTTGCAGATTTGCAGAGCAGCAGTGAATCCTCACTACCCTATGTATAAGTATATATGTATGTACATATCTCTGTCCTCTTCAGACCACCGTATGTCTCCGCAAGATGTATAAAGAGGACCCCTAGGTTCGGCGTTTTTTTTTTTTCAAAATTGTTTTGCAAAAGTTCTTTAGACATGCCGCGATTTTGTTTTTGTTTCCTTGTTAGTTGGTTTGGTGTAATGCACAATGTGCAAACTTTAAGATTTATAGTTTTGACGTCGAAGAATCGACAAATCACTAAAAATTTAATTGTTTTCTTGGCATACGCATGCATGCATTTGTTTTGGTCTTGTGCCTGACATGTATATATATATGTATATACAAATGTATAAATACTTATGTGTATGTATATGAACATTTATATATATATGTATATATACCCAGCCGTAGTTCCAATATATGCGGCCAAATTCAAGTACATCACTAGCGAAATAGCAACAAAAATTTCGTTAACAAGTGATACCGTGTTCTTGAAGATCTTTTATATACATACCTATGATAAGTCCCTTACCCTGGCTTCCAAAGCTACTAACGCTTTCCTTATAAATATTAGCCGCCCTTCGTGGACGAATTTTTGATAATAAGGGATTCGAATGTGGATGAATTCAAGTGTTTTAATCTAGGTATGGCCACCGCTGAACAATCATACCGAATGTGTTCCAACGTCTTTAAGGCAGGAAGAGCATTTAATATCCATGGCCACTGGCCAGGCCAAACTGGTGCATGTGACAGCGCAGTGAACAGCCTGATGTTCGATGCTGTTTATATCCTGTCTATCGGAGGAATAGCCTTACTAGAGTAATTATTCCGTAAAGAGTTTAGTAAAGTTAAGTTTAAGTCAATTTGGGGGTAGATTCAAGTCTCGAAAGAAGCCCAATTGAGTCTGCAAAATCGTTCCGGTTTCACAAGGACAGACATACGATCCCAGAGTGACCTTTTTCCGCAACACAGTGTTGCCATATTTTTTCTGCTAAGAGTTGAAGAGTGTCTAAATACTACTTGACGTGCCTGCTGATCATTCCGTTGGATAGGGCCTTGATGGGGGATTGGTTGTCTGAAAAATAAAACCGGATTTACAAACTCTTAACTCTTAATGCTTGAAACACTGTAGACAATCTGCTAATTGCATTTGAATAGATACCGGATAAGGAGCATACGCTAGTTTATCCTGAGTAACCTGGGAACGGGTTTGGAAGAGTATATTTAAATCTATCTTTTATGTAGGAACCTACAATTTTGGGCCGCCTCCGCATAGTCAATTTCTTTTTGGGAAAATTTTTTAATGATAGAAATTCAATCGGAAGTTTTCCAATGGCCGCCGAGAGGCGACCGCTGCTAGCAAAAACTCGTAGAGCACTTTGTAAATAAAATATATTCAGTAGAAGCTGCTCATAACCGCAGACCAAAGTAATAAAAATTCCTGCTGGGCTTACATGTGCATACATATGTATGTTCGTAAATACAGGCATATGTACTTAGTTGGAATACTGAAAAAGAAAAAAATATTTGGCTAGTAAATCAATAAACTTATGAATTTTTTTCCTTTACCGGAAAACACAGATCCGACATTTCGAAGGAAAGGAAAAACTGTATTGTGTTTCTAGTTGTTTGTTGTTCTTGTTTTTAAGCATTCAACGGGTATATTTATTATTTTGTGCACTCAAATTGGCTNAAAAAAAAAAAAACAACAACAACAAATGAGTAGTAAAAATGCCTTCATACCAGCTGTTTATAGTTGCCCAAGCTAAGTCGTCGGAAAATGAGAGTGATATATAGTAACTATTCTACATATGATTGTGTGTATGTATGTATGTTAATTTGCGTCTTTAACATTAGAAACACATAAACGACAATGAGAACACTGTGAAGCATATCCACTGTGTATATTTGGTAGGCTGCGCCGCTGCCTCCTGGGAATAGGTTTTCTACCGAGTATGGAGGCAGCCGCTAAAACGAGGGAACAGAAAGTTATTCCAGTTAGCAAAGAAAACTTTTATGAATGTTTTTCAACAAGACGCGCAGTGGCTGGCCAGCCTGCCCTAACCTAACATAACCTAACTAAATTAAATGAAGTTTTAATAATAAATTAAATTAATAATTTTAATAAATAACAAGACATTTTCCTTGTTTCTTTACAGATGCCGTAATATGTCTTATGGTAATTCTTGCACTAACCTCCATTCTTTGGAGTATCACCATACATATAATCTCTGGCGATTTTTATCATGGCATACTTGGTGCGAAATTAGCATTTCGTGAAAGAGATTTTCTACAAATGGATGAACATTCCAAAGAGATTTTCTACAATGATCTGGGTAATTTAATAAACGACACATACACGGATAAGGCTTTGCATAATTTAATTGCTGAAGACGATATTACGCCTACGCCAATGGATGTTAATGGTAAAGTTGCGTTGTAAATACATTTTAATATTTGCTTTAATCTTTTTCATCAAATCTCAGCCACAACAAAGCAGCCTAAAGTGCGCAAAACCTATCACATTTTCCAACTGGCACGTCCCGATGAAGAGAAAGGTAAAGCAGAGGAGGACGAGGGGGCGCCTGAGGAAGATAGCACAACCGCACTGCCACCAGTGAAGTTTAATATGACGCATGATCGCCAATTTTTGGCTACGAGTATGTATTTTGCATATGTATGTATGTATGTATGTGTATAAAATAAGAATTTAAGACTTTGCTGTCGGCAAATATTTACATCATTTGTGTAAATACATATTTAGCGTAAATATTTACTTTAGCGTATTGCTAATGTTTATAATATTTTCGCTTACACTGCTGATGTTTATCTAATTAATTTTTTTTTTCAAAATTTTCTTTCACATTCCCAAAAGTTAATAATTATTCTTTTTTCTTGTAGTGATGCTGGATGTGCATAAAACACGTTGGCGTCAAAGCGCCGCCGTTCAATTCATTTATAGTTTTCCATTTTTGTCGGAAATCTTTGCAATAATATGGACAGCAATGTGCTTAATATTTCAGTCAGGCGTTCAAAAGTATTGGTGAGTGCTTGTACCCTGCAGGAAATGCATCTAACTATAAGCTAACTTTATGTTGATTAGGAAAGAGCTAATAGCTGTATATTTTCTTTGACGAAAGCTAACTATATTTCTATGGAGATGTCCGCGAATTAGGCAGGACATTTGATGCATTTTCATGTAACTAACTACTTTTGGACATAAAATATCAATAGAAAAAGCAAAGTATTTTTTATTATTTTTATTTTTTTATTTATTTATTTTTATTTACTTACTTTAATTATTTTATTACATTTCATATTTGCTTACATATTCTTCAGTAGGTAGTCCTATATTGAAATTCCGTCAGACATAACTTCAAAATGATAATATGAAATTTCGATCTGCCTCGTATTTATCCTCAATTCGAAAACTTTTTGTAGAAATCCCACAAAAAAGCTAACTACAAGTAAGTTATTTTTTATCAATTGATAACTTTTTTCTACAGGGTAATGTATGCACATACATACAAACTTACATATGTTGTTTACATTAGAAAGTTAGTGTTAATGAACTTGCATGGAAAATTGCATATTTACGGCAGACAGTTTTGTGGGTGTAATAGAAATTATGTGCTAGAGTCGCGGAGAGACCATGAAGATGAATCAATAAGTCGTTGATTAAATTTTTTAATAAAAGATAATGATCCTTACAATCTTTTTGGTTGAGCATATTCTTCTTTTTAAGCTTTGATGTACACCATCAACGATTTTTACTCTTTATCTATACATATCTATCTTCTTCTATCATCATCTTCTATATATACTGGGCGTCCTAGACCAGCCCGCCTAGACCGATCAGTGAGTACCATTGCCGACTTTTTTTAATCCACTTCCGATTGAAACCGCAAGTCGGTAATAATATCAAAACAAGAATGATAGAATACAAGATTGCGCCACTCAGAGAGTACTTTTAAGTGTCATTTTTGCCTGACGTCATTTTGGTGCAATTACGAGCGAGATAAGTAAAACACGAAGGAAAAAATATAAACAATGCGGAAAAATGTGTTAATATCAATATTAGATGGTCCAATTTTGCAGGAATTAATAAAACTACGAGAACAACATTTAGTTTCGATTCCAGTTTTTTTTCATTAAGACCGTACTTTGGAAACAAAACACAAAAATTATCTAAAACTAATTTATGGTTTAGGAACCGTCTATTCAAATAAGCAATATTTGATATATCGAGGAATTCGATAGTATACCATGTATGCATCTCCGGTTACAAATAAAAAAAAACGAATAATTTGGCGACTACTCTATCGTAGTACTTTGATTTCTGTACCTAGGTTGGTAGGTACATACTTCATCTACAGTTGTCCACAAAATAATAGGAGTGCGATATTTTGACCAGTT